GTTATTTTTAAGTTAAGGGAATTCATGCAGAAATTGGAAAACCTACAGGAGATAAAGGTACATATTAACGTGTATTTAACTCAGCTACAAAGTTTTCGGTGTCAAACTGAACCGAACGTGAAGATGTGGTGAGCACATTGTCGTGAAGAGCATCATTATGGATTTTGGGATATCCCAGGGGAGTCCCATGAGGGGAATCGGTAATCACTGTCTGTGGGGCTGTCTGGGGGTTTAACATGTTTTGCCAACAATACATTCAGCAGTTCGAGAAAGCTCCTGAAATTATTAACTGCTGACCAAACAAAATGCTGATATTGGGGATTTCAATTCAAATATCAATTCTTACAAACTGCTGATATAATTCGATATTAGGCATAAAATAAAAAAATGTCTGTTTACGGTTCCAAATCAATTTTTTTAAAGGGTAGGTCGATAGGTCGCTAATTTCTTTTTAAAGTCAAAAACACCAAAACTATCATTCAATGTGTTCATTTTCTACAACTTTAAACCCCGATACATATTTTGATGGAAAAATGATAGGAAAAATATTGTTTAGGAAGACTAATTTCTATTTCTCGACTTTATTTATGATCTTGGTCTAAAATAAATCAATTTAATATTCTTTTTACGACAATGCTAATAAATTTCAGTCGCCACTTTTTTGGAAGAACTGTGAACGAAGCTGTCCATTTCCCTGTGGATTTCTTGAATTCCCTTAATACCGCAGGCTTACCACCACACAAACTTACTATTAAACTTGGTTCCCCCATCATTGTCCTCAGATCTTTAGACCCACCCAACATCACCAGTGGAACACGTTGTCGAGTCACAGCCTGCCATGCCAACGTCATAGACGTCGTCATCCTACATGGACCAGCAACTGGCAAAACCCTATTCATACCACGCATACTACTCATCCCTTCAACATCAGATCTTCCATTTCAATTTAAAAGACTGCAATTCCCTATCCGCCTTTGCTATGCTATGACAATAAACAAAGCCCAACGACAGATTTCCACTACCATAGGCTTGCACCTGACCACACCTGTCTTCTCCCATGGCATGCTCTATGTTGCCCTCTCACAAGTAGGAAAACCCAGGGCGATGTACATTCACACACAGCACACAAAGACCAAAAACATACTTTACAAAGAAGCCCTTGATCCTTAGGTTAGCTACAACACTAATACACTCATTCATGAATTCCCACCGTCCGAAGGACGGTTACTTTGCTAGTAATATATATATATATATTATTATAAAATATTCATGTTGTGTTTTAATATATCGTTCAATATGTGTTGTGCTCAGTAAAGAGATGCTTAGCGACGCCATTAGTAAGCGATTCCCAGACGCAGAATTTTAGAGTGACGTTATTCTGATCGTTGACGATATGCCATCAGAAAGCATAACCAATAACTCTTCGTCTTGAGTATACACGGTAAACTTTAATAGAAAAAACAGAGACTCGGATTACAGATGTGAAACGTGTGAACATTACATTAATATCCTTAATTCAAACATAATTGCCAAGTTACATTGATGATCGTTATAGGCGGTGTATCATAATTTGGAAGCTTTTTACTATAGATGCATCACACGAAACGATATCACTGAGATGATAAGATGATAACAAACTCATCCCTTATGGCCTAGTCTGTTACTTATCTATTTACTTAGGGTTTAATGCCAATTTTACATGCCTCCAAACAACTGCCGGAATCTCTCGATCCACTGCATAAGTAAACATTGAAAGAAGAAAGAAAATACTATCATAATAAACACATTCTTACAAGGAGTGGTGTCACCGGCTATTCGTGCGTTGGTGTACAAGCAGGTCTGGTTCTGCTATCGATGTCCTATAACAACCAGTTACCTTTTACCTTACATATATGTTACACGTGTTTGCAATAAAATGTACATGTTCATGGCAATTTGTCGCCTAATCAGTTACGGCATAAATGTGAAGGCATTACGGTGCAAAATAAACCAGGTATTCGGGATAAATCCCACTGGCACGAACAAGTTCCATGGCTTACAAGTTACTCCTAGACACTTCGTTAATTCTACAGTGTGAGAAGTAAGATATGAGTGAAGACAAGTCACAATGGCGGTCAAACTTGAGACTGCATTTTATCTCTCTATACCAAAATATATCAACGGTATTTACTCATTCTGCGTTCGTCATACTTCTAAAACGATTCTAAAATCAGAATACAATGCTTACTTTTCAGCTGTCTCCGTTAAATGGAGAAATAACCACCTTCGAACATCTTTCTAAGTGTTATGCAATGATGAACCGTAATGTGGCGTCGCCTGGTGTCTGAGTTATTTACTATTCAGAATTGTATGCAAATGCTACCTGAAAACAATTGTAACGAGGCCGTATCGTCGTGCTCCATCACACTCCCCGTCTGTTATTTTTAATATCACTCTACATTTCATCTTTGCCCAATAAAAGGATAACTTCCTGAATTGGTCGAACATGGTTTTTTCGTACTCCGCCTTTGCATACTGTTACTTCCACTCTTCGTACTTTTCCATCCCTGCTGGGAGTTACTGCATCGATCCTCCCTACTGGCCTCTACATCATTCCTATGTGCAGCCTTATCACGTATAAGTACGAGATCTCCCTCTTTCACTCCTCTTTGGTCCTTCTGCCACTTGACGCGTGGTTGGAGAGTCGGCAGATACTCTCGCTTCCAATGCGACCAGAAGACGTCTGTGAGGTATTGCACTCTCCTTCACTGTTTGCCAAATATGTCTGCCTTTACAAAGGAACCGGGAGGTGCAGACAGAAACTTTGTCTTTTGGGTCAAGAGCATGGTAGGTGTGAGAACTTCTGGCATATCTGCGTCATCAGATATTGGAACCAATGGTCTTGCAGGAAGCTAGGAAGGTGAGAAGCACATCGTGGGTGAGATGCGTGGGGCCGAGGTTGGCGAACATAGCATCGAGAATCTTCCGTACAATACCGATCATACGCTCCCAGACTCCTCCCATATGAGATGCATGAGGTGGGTTGAAAGACCATTCACACCCCTTTTCCAGAAGATGATCCTTCACCTTCTCAACATCCAATTCCTTGGAGCCAGCAACAATGTTAGTTCCGCGATCAGAGAAGAATTTTCTAGTCGGTCCGCGAATGGCTAGAAATCTACGGACAGCGTTAATGAATGAGGAGGTATCCATGGATTCTACCAACTCGATGTGGACAGCACGAGTAGAAAAACATGTGAATAGAACTGCCCAACGTTTAGCTTGAGAGCTGTTTCCACGTGTGCGGCACTTTGTTACAAACCAGTGCCCGAATACATCTACACCGACGCAGGAGAAGGGCGGCTCTGGCATGAGGCGCTCAACAGGCAAATCTGCCATCTTTTGCTCTGCTTGCTTACCCCGTTGTTTGCGGCATGGAATACACTTCTGAATCACGCTTGACACCAGGCGCTTATATCCTAGGATCCAAAATCCATTATGTCTTATGGCGCCAGCTGTGAGCTGACGACCCTGATGTTGTACTTGTTCGTGGTAGTGTCTAACCAACAGTGTAGATATATGTGAGGTTCCACACAGCACAACCGGGTGACGCTCTTCGAAGTCTAGCTGCGCAAACTTCAATCTGCCTCCAACTCTCATAATCCCACATTCGTCCAGGTATGGGTTGAGGTTTAACAGACGACTGGCATTGTGTAAACTGTGCTTCTGCTGTAGAGCACATACCTCCTGGCTGAAGACTTCTTTCTGTACACTGCGGAGTATAGTCTTCTTCGCATTTTCTAAATCTTCGGGTTTGAGAGGACAAAGATGCCAGATACCGCGCGCTGTGCAGGTTTTGTTCTTTAAGCATCTTGCAATGCGGGTCAGGCGCGCGACAGCCTTTACAAGGACGTTCCATCTCGAAAAACGAGAAAATCTCGAATCTGTAAGGTGCACATCGGTGGCTACCATGGTATCAAATACCTTAACCTCAGGCCGAACTTCTGCATCATCGTCTGCGATGGAAAACGCGTTCTCTGCCTGCAAGATTCCCTCCAAACCTTCTGGTGATTTCGGGATGTCTGGTCCTTGTAACCATGTGGTTCCTGAAAGGTTTTCTGCAGCGACAGGTCTTGTTGGTGATGAGTGGGGATGTACGACCATTGGTTAGACGAGGTCGACCTCAATATACGTTGAACTCTGTTGGCGACGTAAGTGTAGAACCGTTTTGTGCGGTTATTCAGGTACCCCAAGACTACCTTGCTGTCTGAGTAGAATCTGACAGCATCGGGTGTGATGTCCAGGTGTTCTGATATCAGGTCGGCGATTTCGACCGCGAGTACGGCAGCGCACAGTTCAAGTCTTGGTATAGTGTGACCATGCTTTGGTGCGACCTTGCTCTTGCCAAGGAGAAATCCGAGCTTATGGTTGCCATCCACGTTTGTCGATTTGAGGTAGGCTACTACAGCAATGGCCTTCTCGGATGCGTCGGCGAACACATGAATTTCTTTCCTGGTGGCATCGCAGAGCGGTGTGTCTGTATAGGTTCGAGGAATGTGAAGATGCTCGAGTGATTTTAACGAATCTCTCCATTCCTCCCACTCCTTTTTGTGTTCGACTGGTAGTGGTTCATCCCAGTCAGACGTTTCCGTGATCAGATTCCTGAGTAGGAGTTTTCCCTGGACTGTAACAGGCGCGACAAATCCGAGGAGGTCGTATAAGCTATTGACTGTGGATAGGATTCCCCGTCGAGTGTAGACCTTCTCTTCGTCGGACACTTGGAATGTAAATGTGTTGGATTTCAGGTCCCAGGCTAAGCCCAAGCTCCGCTGTAATGGTAGTGCGTCGACGCCTAGGTCCAAGTCCTTGAGATCCTTGGCTAGGTCGTCCAACTTAAATGCTTTCATCACATCTAAGCTATTCGACGAGATCTTGTGAAGTCGCAGATTGCCTTCTTTACTCAACGCAGATTGTGTCCTTTTCACCAAGTCTATAGCTTGCTCGCTTGTTGGGAGTGACACGAGCCCGTCGTCGACGTAAAAGTTCCTTTCGACGAATTCCTTCATATCTGTCCCGAAAACTTCCTCTCCGGCTTGTGCGGCCTTCCTCAATCCATAGGTGGCAACGGCTGGAGATGGACTGTTGCCAAAGACGTGCACGCACATTCTGTACTCAACTAGACTCTTTCCTGGATCGTTATCCGCATACCACCAGAAGCGCAAGAAGTTCCTATGGTCCTTCCTGACCATGAAGCAGTGAAACATCTGTTGAATGTCAGCAGTCACGGCCACCGGTTCTTTGCGGAATCTAATCAAGACACCCAAGAGACTGTTGGCCATATCTGGACCGGTCAGCAATACGTTGTTGAGTGACACGCCCTCAAACTGTGAAGATGAGTCGAACACGCCTCTAACCTGGTCTGGTTTCTTGGGGTGATAAACACCGAAGAGAGGTAGGTACCAGCATTCCTCTCCGTCCGCTAAAGGTGGGGCGATCTCTGCATGACCACTGTCGATGATACGTTGCATGAAGGTCACAAAATGTTGTCTCTTCACAGGATCTTTCTTTAGGCTAGCATCCAGTGTTCTAGCTCGTCGTGCAGCTTGTTGCCTGTTGTTGGGAAGCCTACGTCTTGGTTCGCGAAAGGGTAGAGGCGCTACCCAATTCCCCTCAGAATCTCTGTAGAACTCCTTGTCCATCAGCTTAATGAATTCTCGGTCCTCAATACTGGATCCGACTTTGTCATCATCTCCTGTTCTGACGTAAACATCTTTACCAACATCATCGATGCACTGGCCATGAACAAACTTGCCAGTGTGCGCTCTGGCAGGATTGCTAGCAGGCGTATAGCCTTCGGACACGGTGATGTGTCTGTGACATGGGTCATACAGAGACGGTCGGCCATTCTCCAGGACTTGCGTGCGGAATGTGTTAACCTGATTCTTGTGATGGGCTTTTCCAATGCAGACTTCTCCTAGGATCACCCATCCAAGGTCCAGTCGCTGCGCCCAGGGCGCATTGTTGGGACCGTTCCGGGACTCCCTGACCTTGTGAACCTGGGGTACGTCTCTTCCCAAGAGTAGCAGGATGTCTACATCTGGATCTACCTCGGGTATCGCTTTCGAAAGTGTCTGCAAGTGCGGGTGATGAGCAGCCACGTGAGGGCTTGGTATCTCTCCTTTGCTTTCTGGAATCTCGTTGCATTCCAGAAGAGTTGGCAGTGGGATACTGATTGCGCCATTACGCGATTCTATGACCAGGTGATTTGCCCTGCGGCCTACAGCGTTGGATTTACCAGAGCAGGTGTTCAATGTATATGGCATTGCATCTCCCTTAATGCCAAGCTTCTCAAACAGTTGTGATTTCGCTAAGGACCGGTTGCTCTGATCATCCATGACAACGTATGTGCGAAGAACAAGGTCGGGTCGATCTTTGTGATACACTTTAGCTAGGCATATCTTAGCACAGGACTTTGCTCCGATCCGGGACCCACATACTTCAGTACACGAGGTGGTGACGGGGTCTTCCTTTGACTCCCCGCCGTGCACTTGGGCGACCTCTACTCTGTTGACCATGGGCGGTGTCGGCGGTCCTGGATGTAGTATGGCAAGGTGTCGATCGCTATCGCACCCTGTACATTTAACATGGGCTTTACAGCTTCTTGCCCTGTGTGATGTTGTGGCGACACATCTTAGACACAGTCCGGATTTCTTGATCAGATCCCGCCGTGTATCCAGATCTTTTCTCGGTAGCGAACGACAGTTAACTGCTGAATGCGAGCCCTTCTGGTGCAATGGACAGTTGCTGCTGCGGTCATGCAACAGATTACCTTGGTATACCTCAGTTTTGCTAACCGAAATAGCTTGTCTGTGGTATCTCTGGCTAGATGGTCTGTACGGTACCTGGGCCTCTGTAGGTTCTGTCAGGCGGACCGAGAAGCTAGGATCGCACCTCTCGGATGCAATGTCCCTCGCAAACTTCACGAAGAATGTAAATGGAGGAAAGCGTCCGTCATTGACCTGCTTGTAGCGATGGGCTCGAGACCTCCATTTGTCTTGCAGCTCCTCGGGTAGCTTGCTTGATAACGGGTTGATGCCCATAAATGTGTCCAGATACTCGAGCCCTGGTAGGCTTGCATCTTCTTTAGCATACTCGAGCATCAGGAGCGCATCACCAAAATCCCTTAATGCTCCGTGGTCAGCCCTCATAATCTTCTTGTGGTTTTTCACCCTGCTGAACAAAGCGATCGCGATTATTTCGGGTTGGCCAAAGTTTTCTTCGAGCCTTTTCTATGCTTCAGTGAGCACAGTGGCTGGACGGTTGATATGAACTGCACGGATCCTTTTCACCAGCTCTGCCGACTTGGTTCCACACCATTTGACCAACAGGTCGAGCTCTTCGTTCGGGCTGAGCTGGACATGGTCCACTACGTTTCGAAACGATAATTTCCAGGGGCGGAAATTCTCCGGCGCATCGTCAAACTTCACTAACCCGGCCGCGATGAGATCGCGTTTTGTAAAATGCTGGAGCCACCCTTGAACTGCCTGGTTGGGGACATTACCACCTATGTGAAGAGGTGCCGTGGCATTGTGTGGCCTATGAAGGTTTTCCTGACCAATGGTCGACCTTATCTCGGGAGAGTGACTGACGGCTTCACCACTCTCTGTCTCTGCATCCATTCCTGCTTCACCTTGGGTGGCATTACTGGAAAGGACGAAATTTTGCGCCATGGCTCTCTTTGATATTTGAGGGATTCCGGACAACACTGAATCAATATCTGGCTCTCCGTTTGTGCGTAACTGCCCTGATGCAATGCTTTCTAAGGTGGAAAGTTGTGCTGAGAGCTCGGTCCGCTTCCGGGAATTTGCAGCGGCTTCCACTTCTTCTTCCTCTTGTAACCTAGCTCTTTCTTTCTTGCGCTCTGCCTCAATCTCTACCTCTGCTAATCTTCGCGATGTTGAGGCTCTGATCTTCAGTCGTTCTTCTTCTAATTTTGCGGCTTCCTTCTCGATCGTAGCCCTCCTCATACTGTGGGCTATAGATTGCACAGCGTCCGTTCTTCCACTGCTACTTTCTGATCTTCTGGATGATGATCTATGTGATGAAGCAGGCAGGGTCTCTAGGATTTCTTTATACCTGGCATGGGCCTCTTGCAGGGTTTTGGAGACGAATTCATCTCGTGACCTTCCAATTGCTTTCGATCCCACACGATCTCTCAGAATGTCGGTTATGTTAACTCTGGTCTGCAGAGTGCTTAACTGTTCCTGTATATCCCTATACTTTGCAAACGCTACCCTAACATCATGCATGTTAGTCCGAATGATAGTTCTGTCATCATCACAATTATTCAATTTTACGATTGCGTCTCTAGTTTTTTCCCAAACACTATCTAATTTTGCCATAAGTTGTTCTTTATAGTTCGTATAAAGTTCTTGGGCCTTGGGTGTTGCTTTGGAGACTCTCTTTTGGGTAACTCGGGCTGTCGCCTCTGCATGGTCTATAGTCTCAGGGTCCATCCTTGGTGGTTCACTTAAGGTTTGAAGGGCTTCGTTGTCTGGCTGCTGGGGCTCTGGAGTGTCGCTGGTGGACAGGCTTAGGTCAGCTGCATCTGTAGACATCTTGGACACCGTGTAGACACGTCTGGGGCAGTGGTTCACTCCTTTTTACTATTCTGATCGTTGGGCCGTATCCCCATCAGAAAGATAACCACTAACTCGCTTGTCTTGAGTATACACGGTAAACTTTAATAGAAAAACAGAGACTCGGATTAAAGATGTGAAACGTGTGAACATTACATTAATTATCCTTAATTCAAACATAATTGCCAAGTTACATTGATGAACGTTATAGGCTGTGTATCAAATTTGGAAGCCTTTTACTATAGATGCATCACACGAAACAATCATCACTGAGATGAAGATGATAACAAACTCATCCCTTATGGCCTAGTCTGTTACTTAATCTATTTACTTAGAGTTTAATGCCAATTTTGCATGCCTCCAAACAACTACCGAATCTCTCGATCCACTGCATAAGTAAACTTAAAAGAAAGAAATACTATCATAATAAACACATTCTTACTAGGAGTGGGTGTCACCGGCTATTCGTGCGTTGGTGTACAAGCAGGTCTGGTTCTGCTACCGATGTCCCTAAAAAACCAGTTACCTTTACCTATTAGCATATATGTTACACGTGTTTGCAATAAAATGTACATGTTCATGGCAATTTGTCGCTAAGATAATGCCATAGTTACGGCATAAATGTTGAAGGCATTACGGTAGCAAAATAAACCAGGTATTCGGGATAAATCCCACTGGCACGAACAAGTTCCATGGCTTACATGTACTCCTGACACTTCGTTGAATTCTACAGTGTGAGAAGTAAGATATGAGTGAAGACCAATGGCGGTCAAACTTGAGACTGCATTTTATCTCTCTATACCAAAATGATATCAACAGTATTTACTCATTCTGGCGTTAGTCATACTTCACTAAAGATTCTAAATCAGAATACAATCGCTTACTTTTCAGCTGTCTCCGTTAAATGGAGAAATAACCTCCTTCGAACATCTTTCTTAGAAAATGCGTCTAGCGTGGTCAGATTGCAGCACTGAGAGAGCGTGTTGGTGATTAGCTCTGGTTCAACCAATCAAGTGTTGTTATGCAATGATGAACCGTAATGTGGCGTCGCCTGGTGTCTGCGTTATTTACTATTCAGAATTGTATGCAAATGCTAACTGAAAACAATTGTATCGAGGCCGTATCGTCGTGCTCCATCACAGTACATGATCATCTACATGTGTCATGTGATGTGGTGTATTATTTACAAATTGCATATCGTTTTAACTGGTATTTTTCACAGAACAAAGGGCAGCAGAGTTACACAGATCACCGAACCAATTAGTGTTTTTCCTAACTTTTAACTGTTAACTTCACAAGATTGTATCTTGTATTAGTTTACATTGATATTATGATTACATATAATTAAACAATCAATAAGTACAGTCTCTGTTCGTGTGCACAACAGTCAGTGAGTCACTGCATCTGTCATTGCCGTCCTAACGAATTTATTATTTGCAAACGTATATAACATGCAACACGTGATAAATCTAGTACCTATCATGCTCTGTAGAAAACTTGAAAAACGCTATATCTGGGAATATATCTAGAATATATTATGCAAATGATTCCCGTACCGGCTTGAATATAGACACCCCCATACTCGCTCTGAATATTGAGTTTATTGACGCACGATTAGTCAATATATTAGCAAATATATGCGCGCGGAAGTGATGATAAATTTTCTAAAATTCTGAGTTTACGCTCACATCGTCTTGAGCTATAGTCCCTCGTGTGAATATTCGATTTATTGACGCACGATTAGTCAATATATTAGCATATATGCGTACCGTAATCTCCCGTACCGGCTGATATATGAGACACCCCCGATGCCATTTCGAGTATTGACCGCTTCATTCGCCAGGGGCAGCACCATCGAAAACGCTTAACAAAGCCCGGGCTATACAGAAGTGTCCAGTCTGTGTATCCCGTTAGTCCTGTGGTATTAGACCAGCAAGTCAGGCTATGCAGTTGTATACCGCATCAGTCATCGGTTATCGTCTTAATCCGTCATCGTCGTGTGTTTCGTACACGTTATGGTGACGTAATAAAGGCTTCGAAGAGACAGATCTGGTTTGGTGCCTGCGATACATTACATTTCGTTGTCTCACATCCCTACAGGCTTGATTCTCGTAATACTCATTCGGTACGTATACGTAAAGTACTCGTACTATATATAAGCACTTTCGCTCGGTCCGCAGGAGGTAAGGAGCCGAAGGACTAATTACTAGAGCATTAAATACTCGTACTCCGTATGTTGACGCTAGCACTGAGCAAAAAGTAAACAAACATTTTGTTATTACAACGACAACATGTGGTTAACTGTTACACTTGGTCTACATTTGAAAAATAATGTACAACAAAACTGCAATATATCAGTAAGTAATATATATACGGTGAATTATATTAATGAGTAAAAGTGTGTTTGTTAGAGTTTTCTCATGGATATTACATCAGAAAACTTTTTGTTTCGTTTAGCTCAACGAGACTCGAGTACGAGTACGTATCAGCTCTACGGTAGCTGATAGCGGCCTTCGCTCCTTCCTCCTGCGAACAAGGACAAAGCGAAAGGGCTATATTGAACGAGTGCCGTGTAACGTAGCGTAATGTTAGTATTACGAGCGCTCAAGACCCTCTCATTGAGATGAAGATAACACATTTGCACTAAGAATTGTCAGTTTATACCTGGAATTATAGTGCTCTTATATTAAATGAGTAAATATGTGTTTTTCATGAAAGAATACATCAGCAAAACTTACTTAATCGTAGCGATCATATAACCAAAACAAACATATAAAATGGCGTTTGTTCTTGTTTTGAAGGTTATTTTGCTTTTAATCGAAAGCGCCAATCAAGAAGCGCGCTAATTCTTCGCTTTGTTTTTATAGCGTTGGGGGGGGGGAAATTCACGCGCGGCCGCGTGCTCGTGGTATGTGGGACTCGGCCGCATAACAGACAGGACACTATTAAATCCTCCATATGATCCTATACTTAAGGAAGTTTAATTTGAGGCACCTGAAAATAGGTATTGTCCGACCGTTTTCGGCCGAGTGGCAATATTAAAGTTAGGTAGCCATGTATCTTCAGCTGTGTGCACCATTAGAGGTTTATGAGCAATGTGTCCGGCGTTTTTAGAGAGAATATCTGCGAATTTACTAACGCGCAAACCATTGTGTGCTGAAAAAACCAGAGCAGAATTCGTTTAAATTACCAGTAACCCTCCCGACCCATCCTCATGTGGTATGTCATCTTGCCATACACGATCAGCCAGCCTAAATAATCACTCCACAACAAGTTGCGTCCGCTATTTAGTGATGAGCTGCGGCGCCTCCGATTGGCGGGCGATGACAACGTCATCATCCTCCTGACCTAACAGGGTAATGAACCGGTAGTCTGGTGGATTTATTATAGTGGTCACGTGTCAATTAAGGATATGGAACGAATCATTAAATAAACAAAAGCCGACAGTTGTACAGACGTCTGGTCACTTATGACCCAAAGAGCTCTAACAGAGATGAAAAAAATTTATTGAAATCGATCGTCAAATTATGAAAGACGTCCGTGCAGAGAAGCCTTTTCCCGCGACATTTGCACTGCGCCAGATTCTGTTGATGCAGCTGTCCCCCCCGGGGCCCCAGGCCCCAGGAGGCTTATGTTTTCGGCACCGCTGTGTTACGTAGTTTTGTTTTGTTTGTTAGTTTGGTTGTGTTGTGTGTTGTTCCTGGTCAAAGGATCATGCTCCAAAAAGTTTACGGACGGATTTTATGAAATTCTTTTTGTGGGCACGAGTTCTCTTGGGCCAAGAAACCAATCGATTAGAATTGTTGGTGGTGGATCCGGAACCAGATCTCGATCCAGGATTTTTTTTTTTTTCTTTTTTATGGTAAAAGGACTGCCGGACGCCATTAAATTTATAAAAATAACCAACAACAAACAAAAAAACAGGCACAATCCTGGATCTTACTTTTCTAATTTCTTGAAAATTCATCAAAGTCATATCGGTGTACCACAGGATGGGGGGACTTGTCTACGTTGTGGCGAGGTCTGCTTATCTCCCAATTGCTGCTTTGTGTTTTTATATATTAACCAGTAGTCAAGGGTACGGGCAGCCTCCGAAGGTCTATCTCTGAAGCTGTCGATTGGCTTCACCCTTGAAAACAGATGGAACGGTCCCATGTCGGTCGTAAGCGTCCGGTTACATATGGTGAGTAATGTTTGACTTCATCTATCGTTCGTGCAAGACATTTCCTGTGGCAAGAATGCAGTGCGCTCTCGTGAAATCATGCCGTTGGCTTACTATGTATACTTTAATTATTATTAATCTTCTATGAGTACGTCTCTGATATAGTCCAACAGCATGTGATGCTTATTTTTAAACAAAGATCACTCATCCAGATCCAAGAGAATGGCCACAGATTTTTCCTAACGGGGCGAATTGCTGAATCAGTCCCTGGTTTAGAATACTTTATCGGCGGTCACACAAGAACTGGTTGAGCTGGATTTATACTCAGCCGAGTTATCGTTATCTTATATACTATAAATGGTTGTTCAGCCGAATTAAGTTGTTCGCATGCAGTAACTAGTGCAATTACGTAGGCCTAGCGAAAACTTAAAGAGTATATTTTCAAGATACGCACGTCTGGGTGACGGGAGAAATTTAAAAAAAGTTAAAAAGTTAAAATTAAAAAAAAATTCTATTACCGTCATCATGGCGGTCGTACAGCCTAACCATCTTCCAACGTGTTAATGATGATCTGCAAACCATACCGCCCAGTTGGCCCGATGGATACAAGACGCTCACAACACCATTGATTCGGTTCGGAATCCCACCTCGAGGAAATCTGTTTTTTAACTTTCTGGACTGCTTTAGTATGTAGTTTTCCCACTTCACCGTTAATCTTAAACAAATTAAAATTTTTTAACTACATTTGAACGTTTAGTAAATAATCTAGTAAACTACTGGTAGATAGTAATAATAGCGCAAACTGAACGGGAACCACTTCACGGAAGCCTATTTAGGTTACAGATCAAAATATTATTAATTTTTATATAATTTTATTTTGTTATTTTATTTTTATTTTTTATTTTAATGTTTTTTATCTTTGTGATGTCCTTAATTTATTTTTTATTGTTTGTTTGGGAGGGATGGCAATGGGAAGATGAGCATGCGTGGCAATGACAGGGATGGGATGGCATGGCAAATGGCATGGCATGGATAGCATGGGATGGGAAATGCGTGTGATAGAATGAGAATTGGGAGGGATGGCATGGATGGCTCGGATGTCATTGGAAATGGCATGGGAATGCGATCGAGATGGATGGGATAGGAGAATATGGGGATGGGATGCGGGCGATGTCAGGGAATGGGATGGCAATGGAATGCGATGGAGTGGATGGATGCATGGATCAGATAGATAGTTAACGATTTTGTGGGTATTTTCTTTCATACCAAGCGGTCTCACCACAGATAACGCCCTGATTCCCCGGCAACGTCCGGTATCCCCGCTAGCTTTTTCAATGTTTACATGGCTTTTATCTTTGATTTCTATTTATTGTTTACTGTTTTACATGGGAAATACGTGGATGGGATGGGATGGGATGCATGGCATAGGCAATGTATGGGCTGCATTGGCATGGGCATGGGCATGGCATGGCAATGGCAGGCATGGGATGGCTCGGTGCGATGGGATGGATGGGATGGAGATTGGGAGATGGGATGGGATTGGGATGGGAAATTGGGATGGGATGGGATGGGATGGATTGGGAATGGGATGCGGATGGATGGGATTGGGATGGATAGGATGGGATAGGAATGGGATGGGATGGATGGGATGGGATGGGATGGGATCGGGGAGCGCGAATGGGATGCGGTGCATGGGATTGGGATGCGGTGCAATGGGAGGATGGGCAATGGCCATGGCACTGGCATGGCAGTGGCATGGCATGGCTAGGCATGGCATGCAAATGCGATGAGAGGAATGGGATGGGATGGATGGGATGGGCATATGAAATGGGATTGGGATGGGTGGGAATGGGATGGGGATGATGGGATGGGATCGGGATGGGAATGGGATGGGATGGCATGGAATAAGATGGGTGGCATGGGATGGCAATGGGAATGGGATGGATGATTGGATGCATGGATGATGCATGGATCGATAGATAGTTAAATTTTTTGGGGGTATTTTCCCTTTC